ATAAAAGGCGGTTTGGCCGCATCCCTCAGGGCGGCTATTTTAGACTCTTGCTATTGTACAGTCGCGCGTGAGCCGGAGGTGGTCCCCGGCGCAGCGCATGTCCCACTACATGAGGAGCACCTGCCAAATGTCGCAGTGCACGGCTCGGAATTTTGTGCAGGCGGTGAATCTTGGGAGCGGGTGCAACCATGTGTTGTTTGTACAGCAGGATGGCGAGCCCCGCGCACAAGACGGATGTATAGGCAATCCATTGCCCTTTGAAGGCCACAGGCTGCTTCAATGCAGCGTGCGCCACTATATGCGGCTGGCACCACGTCGCATGCAGGCAAGGCTGCAGCATGTGCGCCAGAGCGTGTGCAGAGTAGCCAAGGATAACAGGTGGCTGGTGCGCGCAACCCCAAAGCCTGGGTTGCTGCCGTGTCTGCACTGCTGATGTTCGTGCGCGTCATGCAAGGAAGCGTGTGATGTGGTGTGCTCATACCGTAGTGCGTTTGACAGGAGGGCTGATTCAATAGGCAGCATCAAAGCAACAAACGCGGAGTGGCAACCATCATGGTGGTTACGTGACGTTTTGTCACATGGCGTGCCCAGCAGCAGCAGCAGCAGCAGCAGCAGCAGCAGCAGCAGCAGCAGCAGCAGCAGCAGCAGCAGCAGCACAAGCACTGCTGATCGGCATTCGAGACAGCAGCAGCACCAGCACAGCACGAGCAGCTCTGGACCCAGATAGCGATGGCCCCAGCACAGCAGGGGCGCCTGCGACGGCAGCCACTGCAGCAAAAGCAAGCAGAAACCAAGCTGATAACAAATCCACTCGAGGATAAGCGCAAGGTGGATGCATGCACGCTTTCTTTCGCGAGAACCTATGATGAGACCACGCCCATAACGATAAATATCGTGGGCTTGATATATTACTTAGGCTACCTGCTGAGATCCTCTGCTGCCCATCTTGTGTTAGCTTATGTTGAAAAGTACGACAACACAAGTGCGGCACGGCCGTGGCCCGCGGACGGCCAAAATCTGCAGAACGCACGCCCAGCGACGGTGCTGGCCACGCGATGTGCACCTTTAAACACAACAACAACCTTTAACAGCTCCTCAGCCACGGAGAGGAAGAGATTTGGCGAAGGCCCCGCGACGTTCGTTCTGCCACTGGGGCCCGCCCCGGAAAAAAAAGTGACATCCCTCAGGGCTAAACGCCCTGAGGGAA